TGGCCAACCCGATCCCCAGCCCAGTGCCACCTTCTTCCCTGCGCCTGTGCTAGTGTGCTGCACCTGTGAGTCTTGCCTCAGTTAGTTGAGCTGCCGTCCAGCTTCCCGAAAAGAAAAAAGCCTTTGCATAGAAATTAAAATAACATAAGGAGCTCTAGTATAGAAATTAGAATAACATCATTTGCCACAAAAAGTGCGGCTTTGTGGCAGCTCGAAAACAGATGGTCGCATGCCCCTAAAAACACCAAACAATATGCTCCAAATGCATAAATGGAAAATTAAAGGGAAAAGGGGCAAATAAGCCCTCGAACTAACCAAAAAAGTGCAAATAAGCCCTTATATAGGAGACTTTGTGCGGCCGTCGTCATTTGGGGAGGTTCTCGGTGGAATTTTTTTATGAAATTTTGTGAGCATCTTCTTCATTAAGTCTAGTTTAGTCATACCAAATTTCAGCTTAAAATTCAATCGGGAAGACAGTCAAATGAATTTTAGAAGATAACAACGCAGTTAAACAGCGCAGTATATTTCAGAAAATCATTTGACATCCTTCCCGGATGAATTTTTAGCTGAAATTTGGTATGGCTAAACTAGACTTAATCAATAAGATGCTCAAAAAAATTCATTAAAAAATTCCACCAGAAACCTCCCCAAATGGCAACGGCCGGACAGAACCTCCGATATAAGGGCTTATTTGCACTTATTTGGTTAGTTCGAGGGCTTATTTGCCCCTTTTCCCAAAATTAAATGAAAACGGAATGAGAAAACTGTCATCCACGTACTTTTACCCAAAAGTCAATTGAGTTCATGTACTTTTTTCGAGTCAATTAAGTCCGCAAACTATCAAAAAGCAACCAAATTGACAATTTAATAGGTACTCAACCGGTCATCTGCCTATGTGGACGTCCAGCTGAGATATTTTTAGTCTTTTCTACTCCCTCCGTCCATTTATTTTGTCCCGTTTTACCTTTTCGGGAAGTCCCACTTATACTGTCCCATACCATATTTGGCAAAATTTGTGTGGCTCTAAATCATTCTTACTTTATTCTTACTTTATCAATTAATATCAACCACACAAATCCACTTTTCTTAATAACCGTGCCACCCTCTTCTGGGACAATATAAATGGGACGGAGGGAGTATTTTTTATTGTCTTGTCCTTTTTCTTTTTCCATTATTTTTGCATCTGCAACTCCATCGATCTCGAGAAAAATCTTTTAGCTCCCTGCTCTGCAACTACCGATCTATGGAGGAGGAGGTTGTGGTGGCTATGGAGGCTGGAGCGGTTGGACGTTGTTCCAATGGAAGAGGCGGTGTGCGTATGGCGGAAGAAGCTGTTGATGTGAGGTGGAGGTCGGACTCCAGATGCAGTGGCTATGGATGCTGGGCGGCGGAGATGATGGCTAGAGAGGCTGAGAGGCGGAATTCGTTCCAGTGGGAGTGTGGCGGAGGCGACAAAAATGGAAGAAAGTGGCCGGAGTTGTGGTCGAGACAAGAAGGAACGAAAGAAACGAACCAGGCAGAGAAGTGAATTGGGAAAGGAGAAGAGCGGACCGGAGGAAAAGAGAAGAAGAAAGAGAAAAAAGTTAGAAAAGGAAGAGAGAAGGAAAAAAAGAAAAAGGAAAAGGAAAGATAAATTAAAAAAATTGAAAAACAACAAAAAAACGCCACCTCAGACATCCACGTGGACGGTTAAATGGGAAACCGGCTGACTACCTATTAAATAGCCGATTTAGTCATTTTATGATAGTTTGCGGACTTAATTGACTCGAAAAAAAGTACATGGACTCAATTGACTTTTTCGTAAAAGTACGTGGACCTATTTGACAGTTTTCCCAAACGGAATTGATATGAGTTGGTATAAAGAATGCGTGAATAAACAAAAGAAAGAATTGATGGCCAACTAAATCAGCGTAATCAAAACGGGAATAAGAGGGGGGATCAAAACTATCGTTTTGATGTTTTGTAGTTTTGCACCTTTCTATTTGATTTTTGTAACAAAACTCCCACATTTCCAATCAGTACAATTAATGTGACCTAATTGGCATTTTTTTCTAATGCTATTTAAAAAACAAAGAAAGTTGACCTAGGCATTTTATCAAACATTATATATGCAGAATTAGAGAATGCCCATACTATATAATATAGATTTAGCTTCACATAGCAACATCGAAAATACTTGCTAATTCATTAAAAATATATATTAATCCAATTTATATTGGAAAATGTTTCTACGTCATCTTGATTTTATATTGAAAAACAATTTATGAGGGGCGAAGGAGCTTAAGTGTAGGGTTGCTGAAACCTAGCGGGTTGACCAATGGAAAGAAAACGAAGGAGCTTGCTTCTAGGGAGTGAGTAGTACGAACCTTTAATAAATACCTGCGATGGAACCCAGATAAACGGGTCTGAACTCCGATGATTTGCGAATCGACATTGAGGGGTGAAATTTTTAAACAGGAAAGGTTATGATGAAGGCATCTCAAATCTGATAGTTTCTGATGAAGTAGAGAGCTGAGAAATTGAGTGAGCAAAGTCTAGTCCGAGAGAACGTGACTGGAGTAAGAGATTTTCCGAGAAGGATGAGGGATCGAGATGGGGAGCAATGAATGAGAAATGCAATGGAACAAAGAGTAGACTGGGGTCGTCGATCTTTGAGCTGGACCTTTGACTCAATTACTTGAGCGGAAAAATGTCATTTTGTCAAATTATTGCAATTATGTAGGATGATTTTATAAATAAATACTTTTGAAGAAATCTCATAATGATGCTTGTACGAAGTGGATATGTTTTGGTTTTCTAAAATAAACAACTACTCCGTATATCATTATCAATAACAATAAAATTAACAATTGCATAACTCGAGGTTGCAATATGATGAGACAAAAAAATGGACGACCCAAATGAAAAACGACAAATCGCTAGTTCTTTAATGATATACTCTACTTGCAAATAGACCGCTCCTGTCTCCTGCTACGATAAATATAATTATTAAGGAAATGGATTTTATTACGTACAAGTGAGATAAAGAAGACGTGCATATCGGGTAAATTCCATCGTATAGCTGGCTGTACCGTGCGCACGGTACAGCCGGCCCTTTTTAGGCAACGCGCGCTTGCTTCGATCTTGCTCTGCGCTTCTTCTTCGGCTTCGCATCAAGCTTCGCACCAGCTTTCCGATCTCGTCTGGTTCTTCGATCTGGCTTCGTCTAGTTGCTTCGTGGCAGGAGAAACCACAACGGAGATTCCCCTAGTGCAGCTCGCTCATCCCCTTCTCCTCTAGAGCGGACACAACAAGTCCATTTCTCCTCCCTCCCCTCTGTCTTTCTTTTCACTCTTTTCTTTTTCTCTCTTTTTCTTATTCAATTTTGGTGTTTAGATTGTGAATTTAGAAGACAAAAAGCGAGCCTACTGCAAACAAAGGAATCCCTACTGCTATTGATCTCAAATGAGTTTTTATTAAACTCAAATGAGTATACACATAAAGAAATGTACATACACAACTAAATATTAAGCACATAAAAATGAGTTTTATATTAAACTCAGATGAGTATACGTCTCAAATAAATGAACATACACAACTGAATATTAAACACATTAAAAATGAGTTTTGTGTTAAACTTAAATGAGTATAACGCCCAAAATCAATGAGCATACACAAAATGAGCTTTTGAATTTTTTGATACTCATTTTGTAAATTATGTATGCTCATTTGGTACTGCTTTATGCTCATTTTAAAATGATGCACATATCAAGTATAACGCCCAAAATCAATGAGCATGCACAAATGATCTTTTGAACTTTTTGATACCCATTTTGTAAATTATGTATGCTCATTTGGTACTGTTTTATGCTCATTTTAATATGATGCACATATCAAATATAACGTCCAAAATCAATGAGCATGCACAAATGATCTTTTGAATTTTTTGATACTCATTTTGTAAGTTATGTATGCTCATTCGTTACTGCTTTATGTTCAGTTTAAGAAATTTTTATAAACGAAAAATAATAAAAAGAAATTGAATTAGAAAATATAAAACAGAGATCATTGGTGCTCATTGTTAGCTTCCTAATACTCAACAGAACAGACTCGATGCTCATCAGAATTGTATAAATGCTCATTTAAGAGAAACCGAGATTTTCATCAAAAATTACAAATTTGCCACTATTTTTTTAGTTGTGATATCGGCTTTCTTTTAATAACACGACGTTCATTATTAGACTCCTAATACTCATTAGCATTGGATTCTTGCTCATTAACAATACACTAATGATCACTTAGCAGAAACCGCGATTTTTACATTATATTACAAAAATGCCACCGACTGTACGGTGAGCACCGTACAGCCGGTTGTACAGTGGACGGATCCTGCATATCGGTTCCATCATGTAACACCGTCCCCAAATGTATTTACTTTTATGTAAATGATGTAATAAACCTTATGGAATGATTTATGAATTTACGAGGTTGTAAATTTTTATTATTTCTTTCGCGTGAATAGTAAATTGCACGTGGGACCCACACCGGGAGCGGGGGCCGCCCGACACTCCCGAGACCACATATTTTATTCAACTTGGTCAAGATAATATTTATATAGTGGTGGATATTTTATTTGGGTCGTGGAAAGGCGCAGGGTTGACCGATTGGGAAAGAGAGGCCCAATTACCGGTACCGACAATTTAACAGATAACAGCCCGAAAATGAATTTCGGAGGCTTATAAATTAAAGTTGAGGAATGTATATTCATTATACATGTCATAATGAGTAAGAGCACATAATATATTTTATTTGACCCGATAAAATAAAATATATTTAAAACAGTCCGAAAAATACAACTTTCGGGGCCGATTGTACACATCGGGACTTAATGGGATGACCTCCCACAAGGGTGGGGGCCACCCCACGTTTTTGTGTGCTCAAAACAAACAAGGAGGTGGCTGAGTTGACAAAGGAAGGAGTGGAGGAGGTGCTTTTGGCATCTAAGGTACATGGAGGACCCCCCTCCCTCACTCATTTGTCAATTAAGACAAAAGTGAGACATCCCCTCTCCCTCCAACCATTGAGCTCGACCAGACCATCCAAGGGAGAGAGAAGGAGCTTCAAAATCACCTCCATTGCTGCAAATTTGAGCTCAAGCTTTAGTGCTCAAAGGAAGAAGATTAAAGAGGGAAAAAATTGGGAAAAGTGTGAACAATTAAGGTAATGACCTCATATTAACTTTTCCTTTATTTTTCTTCCACCATATGAAGTATATATCATATGAAGAACCTTTAGTATGGTTCAATATGTTATAAGTATGGATCTATGGGGTGGAAGATGGTTCTAAGTCCAAGAACGGACTTAGAAGCCAAAACGACCGGTTCACCGGAAAATAACCTTTTTGAGGTTATTTGTATTAATATGGGTTTTATGATTATAAAACCTTGTTAGGCACTTGTAAAGGGTATTTCAAGTGATTTCACAAAGTTGGAAAAAGTCGCCGGAGTCGTCGCCGTAGTTGACCGAAAGTCGCCGGAGTTTCACCGGAGTTCAACCAAGAAGGGTAGAACTTCATAACGCTAATTCAAGGTGAGTGGACGGCTTAATATCTTATAACTTTTGGGTTAATTATGAGATTACCTAAATAAATGTTATATGTGTTCATAATGATGTTTAAAAGATATTTAAACATGTGATTAGCCAACATTATCAAGTTGTATGAAAAGAATTAATTGATTATGCATGAAATATGATATGAGAAATTATATAAAATGCACATTAGCTTGAAGTGTGAAAGAAGCTCAAATGAGTATTATTGACTTGATTATATGATGATTAAGTTGATATGTACAAGGCTTGAATTGGCGGTCAACGACAACGTTGACCGATGGATGATGGATTAATTAATATCGGTTGATGTTAGTTAATTATACATTTATATAAATGCATGGCTTTGCATGGATTGTGATACATAAGATTTATGTATTGGATTAGTTATGAGTAACTAAGGATGATATAGACTCTATCTAGGTTGATAGGAGGTTGATCATAGGGAAATATTTTGGTGGAGGACCCTAGTACTTAAAAGTACTTAACACTCAAAACTTGGTGGAGGACCCTAGTACTTAAAAGTACTTAACACTCAAACTTGGTGGAGGACCCTAGTACTTAAAAGTACTTAACACTCAAAACTTGGTGGAGGACCCTAGTACTTAAAAGTACTTAACACTCAAACTTGGTGGAGGACCCTAGTACTTAAAAGTACTTAACACTCAAAACTTGGTGGAGGACCCTAGGACTTAAAGTCCTTAACACTCAAACTTGGTGGAGGACCCTAGTACTTAAAAGTACTTAACACTCAAAACTTGGTGGAGGACCCTAGTACTTAAAAGTACTTAACACTCAAAACTTGGTGGAGGACCCTAGGACTTATGAGTCCTTAACACTCACAAACCGGTGGAGTATCCAAGGATTTTGATCCTAAAACTCATAGATTATGATATACAATTAGGGACAAGGAGGAGTCCTATACACTCATAGGTATATGGGTGGGTTGGGGTTTTTAGTCAAGAATATTGACTATTACTATTTTTCCCAAATAAAATGGTGATCTACGGATCGGATATTTTCCAAGTATATATATACTAATAAGTATTTCATAACTTGGGGGAAAGACTATTTATTTAAGTATCACCCTATGTTTGGGTCTTATACTTGAAACGCTAGTTATTCTATATTTAGCCTGCTACTCGCTCGGTACTTGTACTGACCCCTTCGGGGGGCCCCACCATTTTCAGGTTGAAGCTAGGGCTTGCTACTTGCACCTTCTCACGGGTGGTATCATATCGGGAAGACGTGGTTCGTGCTTCCTTATTTTCTTTCAAACTACTGAACACTTGCTCATGGATATTTGCTCTACTATAAACTATTTTTGGGGCTTGCATGCCCATGTTGTTGGCCGGTTGTGGCTTATGACTTACCGTTGAATATTTCCGCTATTCATTGGTTTAAATGTGATGTTGTTATGTATGTTTACTACTGAGTATGGATGGATTATATTCTCGAACGCCTTGTGTAATTAAGTGAGGTTGACTCGCGGGTGACGTCACTTGATTATACGGCGGTTGTACACGTGCTTGGATTGCGGTCTGGGGCGTGACAACTAAGTGGTATCAGAGCCATCTCAGTTCTAAACTATATAATCGACCTCTCACAAAGGATTTTACAAAAGAGTTTTTACCGAAAACCATGAGCATTGTATTTTGACGTTTATAGGACTATTGGTGCTTAAGTTGCAAGGCCTCTAATTGTTAAGACGGTACCCTTAACAATTGGTATGGTAGTGACTTGGGCCAATACGTGTCTGTAACGTTTTTCCGTCAATTGACATTTATAGGAGTCTAATGACTCATCCATATTTCTTTCAGAAATGGAGGGCAGGCGAATGGGGACCAGGAACAACCCGAGGGGGCAGACGCCGGTAGCATCCCAAAGGGGAAGCCGGGCTGCATCTCGGGGTTCAAGAGGAGGCCGTGGAGGTCGTGGAAGCCGTGGAGGTCATCAAGCTCAAACTGTGAGTGATGGCCATGTAAGCTCGGTGTATGAAACCAACACCGAGGACTATGACTCGACCTACGTTCCATAAACGGAGCATGAGGAGACCCCGTATGATGGGGGTGACACATACACCGATGATGATGATGAAGAGAGTGATGCCAAGTTCGCCCAAATGGGCGAATTGCTTGAGTGGTATCAAAAAGAAAAGCTGAGGAGAGACCTTAGGCGCCAAGCAAGGCGTGGCTCTCGCGGTGGTTCGGGTCAAGGAAGCCGGGGAGCTTCAAGGTCCACTCCCGTAGCGCCACATGATGGGCGTGAGGGAGGTTTTGTTGTGAGAATCTCCAAGTACCTCAAGGAGGCTAGGGCCTTGGGGTGTAAGTCCTTTGACGGCACCGGTGACATTACCGTTGCCGCCGACTGGATAAAGAAGGTGAAGGATGCGGCAAAAGACATGCAAATTTCACCGGACGTGAAGTTGACTGTTGCTTCACGGCTGCTTGAGGGGATAGCTTCCACGTGGTGGGAGAGTGTAGAAGGAAAATACCATGGGGAGGTCTCGTGGTTGAACTTTGAGCAGGAATTTTATGACCAATACTACACTGACTACGAGAAAAATGTCAAGCGTAGGGAGTACACCAACCTCAAACAGAAGGAGGGTGTTTCTGTTAAACAGTTGGAGCAAGATTTTAGAACCTTGGCTAGGTTCTTACCGGAGTACGCGATCAATGAGGACCGCATGTCGGAGCACTTTTGGGATGCCTTACTCTTGGACATCCGTGATCGGGCTACGTACTCGCGCCACATGACCTTTAGCGAGGTGGTGGAGCAGGGCCTTCTTGGGGAGGCTCAATGGAACGAGAGAAAAGAAAGAGACGCCGAGGAGGCGAAAAAGAGAAAATGGCATAATTCGGGGCCGCCCGAGCAAGCACGGAAGAATAACCACGGCGGGGGTGGTGGTACGTTCAAGGCGCCGGCACCACCGGCGAAGAAGAACAAGGATGCTCGGTGGCACGCATCCTCCTCTCAAAATACGGGGCCTCCTAAGTGTGCCAACTGTTCAAAGAACCACTTTGGGAAGTGCAACGCATCCCCGAGGTGTTATCGATGTGGGAACACGGGCCACATGAAGGCCAATTGCCCACAATTGGGGGGAGGAGGAGCTCCGGGATCCGGAGGAGGAACCATGACGGGAAGAAACCGTGCGGGCCCGTCAAACGGCGGTACGGGAAGGGGCGGTGCGTCCACGAGTCATGCCGCGTCCGTCAACCAAGGTGGGACCCAAGCACGAGTGTACGCAATGACCGAGGCGGATGCGCGAGCAAACCCGGACTCCGTTGCAGGTAATACACTTATGTTCCTGTATTTCTAGGCTTATTTGGGTCATACGAGTCATTGGGTTTGGGTGCGGGCCACCCCGGGGTCAAACCCCGCGAATTCGGGGCGAAACGGGCTAAAAACAACTACGCGCGATCGCGCGTACCTACAGACGCACGACCGTGCGTGCGAGGCAGCAGCCTCTGGCCGTTTTCCGCGCAGACGCACGCCGTGCGTGCAGGTAAGGCACGCCGTGCGTGGGACGCACGATCGTGCGTGACCAGCTACGCACGATCGTGCGTAGCCGGCAGTGGCGGATTCCGATTTTCTCACGCACGCACGACCGTGCGTGCCACCCAGGCACGCCGTGCGTGGACCCCCAACACCCGAAACTTGATTTTTCCGCCCCGTTCTTCTACGTTTGGACCCCCGTTTGATTCCAAACATTAGTATGAGCCTAATAACCTCCTAAAGATGTGTTAAAACATTAGAAAATGTATCTTACATGTGTATAAATGTAGGAACATTAAAGATCAATGGTAGGTGTGCGAGGATCCTCATTGATACCGGGGCACAACGCTCATTTGTGAGTGAGGCGTTCGCCGAGGGCCTTGACGTGCCATTGACACCTATGACTCAAACGTTGCTAGTCTCCACACCGTTAGGAGACGACGTGGAGAGAAATCATTACTATCCGTCGTGTGAGGTAGAAGTGACGGGTCAACCTTTGACTTGTGATTTCGTACCTCTAAGCATGTTGGAGTTCGATGCAATCCTAGGAATGGATTGGCTCGAGAAACACCATGCCCGAGTAGATTGCTACACCAAAGTGTTGGAGCTCGAGGATGATCAAGGGAACACGCTATGCTTTGAGGGAGATCGGGGGAAACCTAGTGCTTGTATCATATCCGTGATGAGAGCACGGAAGATGATGAGGAAGGGATGCCACGCGTACCTTGCCTACATGGTGGACGATACTAAGAAGGAAGTCGACATCAAGGATGTACGGGTCGTGTGCAAGTACCCGGATGTCTTTCCCAAAGACCTACCGGGGCTTCCACCCGATAGAGAGATTGAATTTGTAATTGAAGTGGAGCCGGGAACCAAACCCATTTCGATTCCTCCTTATCGAATGGCACCGGCCGAACTTCAAGAGTTGAAGGTCCAACTACAAGAATTATTGGACAACGGATTCATCAGACCCAGTCATTCACCGTGGGGGGCACCTGTACTCTTCGTGAAGAAGAAGAAGGATGGTACACTAAGAATGTGTATTGACTACCGACAATTGAACAAGGTCACAATCAAGAACAGGTATCCCTTACCGAGGATTGATGACTTGTTTGATCAACTTCGGGGGGCAATAGTGTTCTCGAAGATTGATTTGAGGTCGGGGTATCATCAGTTGAAGATCAAGGAGAGCGACATACCTAAGAGTGCATTCCGCACTAGGTATGGTCATTACGAGTTCCTTGTGATGTCGTTTGGTTTAACCAACGCACCGGCGGCATTCATGGACTTGATGAACCGGGTGTTTAGTGAATACTTAGATCAATTTGTGATAGTATTCATTGATGATATCTTGATATACTCCAAGAGTGAGGAGGAGCACGAGCATCATTTGGGGCTTATACTTGATCGGCTAAGGGAAAAGCAACTCTTTGCCAAGTTCTCTAAATGCGAATTTTGGCTCAAGGAGATTGGTTTTCTCGGTCACGTCATATCCGGTTCGGGCGTAGCTGTGGATAACTCCAAGATAAAAGCTATTATGGATTGGGAGAGACCCAAGAATGTGAAAGAGATACGTAGTTTCCTTGGCTTAGCGGGATACTATCGTAAATTTGTTGAAAAATTCTCCGTATTGGCGTCTCCATTAACGAAGCTCACAAAGAAAGGGGCCAAGTTCATATGGGACGACAAGTGTGAGAAAGGGTTCCTTGAACTGAAGAAACGACTTACCGAAGCACCAGTCCTCGCCCTACCCATACAGGGGATAGGGTATGATATATACAGCGATGCTAGCATCCAAGGGCTTGGATGTGTACTGATGCAAAACGGTAAGGTGATTGCCTATGCTTCTAGGCAATTGAGGAAACACGAGGTGAACTACCCTACCCACGACCTAGAATTGGGGGCGGTAGTGTTTGCACTAAAAATTTGGAGGCATTATCTCTACGGGGAGACATGTCACATTTATACCGATCATAAGAGCTTGAAGTATGTATTCACTCAAAAAGAGTTGAATATGAGACAAAGGAGATGGATGGAGTTGATCAAGGACTATGACTTGATCATCGACTATCATCCCGGAAAGGCCAACGTAGTGGCCGACGCACTGAGCAGGAAGAGTACGTCAGGGACGTTGCTTACTTGTCTGCAGGCATTGAGGGCACGCGTGGAGGTGTCCACGTGCGGGGCTCTCATTGCTCAATTTGAGGTTAGGCCCACCCTATTGGGTGAGATTAGTCGAAGTCAGGCCATTGATGAAGAATGTCAGAAGATCCGTGAAAGAATCCTTGAAGGACCCGTTGAGAACTTCCGAGTACGTGATGACGGTCTATTATTGTTTAAGGATCGTGTATGCATACCAAAGAATGAGGAACTCCAGAAGTCTATACTTGAGGAGGCTCATTCTTCAGCTTATGATATGCATCCAGGAGGTACTAAGATGTACCGAGATTTGAAGGAAAGTTACTGGTGGTCAGGTATGAAGAGGGACATCGTAGAGTATGTGAGTCGATGCCTTACTTGCCAGCAAGTTAAGGCAGAACATCAGCACCCGGCAGGGCTTTTGCAGCCACTCGCCATCCCAGAGTGGAAGTGGGAGCACGTGACCATGGACTTCGTGGTGGGGCTACCACGAACAGTGAACAACTATGATGCAGTTTGGGTAGTGGTTGATAGGCTCACCAAGAGTGCACACTTTTTGCCTATCAACATTACTTATCCTCTTGAAAGATTGGCCAAGCTCTACACGGAGGAGATTGTGAGATTACATGGAGTCCCGATATCCATTGTCTCGGATAGGGATCCACGATTCACATCCCGATTTTGGCCAAAGTTTCAAGCATCGTTGGGTACTAAACTGAAGTTTAGCACAGCTTTTCACCCACAGACGGATGGACAGTCTGAGCGGGTGATACAGATTTTGGAAGACATGCTTAGGGCATGTGCCCTGGAGTTCCAAGGAAGTTGGGACAAACATTTGGCTCTAGTGGAGTTTGCTTATAACAACAGTTATCAAGCAAGTATCGGCATGCCTCCATATGAGGCATTGTATGGGAGGAAGTGCAGAACACCATTGTGTTGGGACGAGGTTGGCGAGGCCAAACTCGAAGGAGTGGAACTAGTCGAGATCACCAAGGCCAAGGTGAGGGTCATTCGAGATAGATTGAAGGCCGCTCAGGACCGACAGAAGAGTTATGCTGATAAACGGCGGAGACCGTTGGAGTTCGAAGTCGGTGATGAGGTCTTCCTAAGGATTTCTCCTTGGAAGGGCATCATTCGATTTGTATCGAGGGGAAAGCTTAACCCCCGATACATCGGTCCATTTGAAATCCTTGAAAGGATAGGGGCCGTGGCTTACCGACTCAAGTTGACGCCTGAACTTGAGAAGATACATGACGTGTTTCATGTATCAATGCTCAAGAAGTACATACGAGACCCATCTCATATTCTTGAGAAACCACCGGTGGAGATCCGTGAGGACTTGCAATATGCGGTGGAACCAGTGAAGATTGTTGGTCAACAAGTGAAGAAACTTAGGAACAAGGAGATTCCTATGGTGAAGGTTCTTTGGAGGAGTGATCGAGTCGAAGAGGAAACTTGGGAGACCGAGGTCTCAATGAGGGAGCAATACCCATTCCTTTTCGATTAGACACGTGGATTTCGGGGACGAAATCCCAAATAAGGGGGGGTGAACTTGTAACACCGTCCCCAAATGTATTTACTTTTATGTAAATGATGTAATAAACCTTATGGAATGATTTATGAATTTACGAGGTTGTAAATTTTTATTATTTCTTTCGCGTGAATAGTAAATTGCACGTGGGACCCACACCGGGAGCGGGGGCCGCCCGACACTCCCGAGACCACATATTTTATTCAACTTGGTCAAGATAATATTTATATAGTGGTGGATATTTTATTTGGGTCGTGGAAAGGCGCAGGGTTGACCGATTGGGAAAGAGAGGCCCAATTACCGGTACCGACAATTTAACAGATAACAGCCCGAAAATGAATTTCGGAGGCTTATAAATTAAAGTTGAGGAATGTATATTCATTATACATGTCATAATGAGTAAGAGCACATAATATATTTTATTTGACCCGATAAAATAAAATATATTTAAAACAGTCCGAAAAATACAACTTTCGGGGCCGATTGTACACATCGGGACTTAATGGGATGACCTCCCACAAGGGTGGGGGCCACCCCACGTTTTTGTGTGCTCAAAACAAACAAGGAGGTGGCTGAGTTGACAAAGGAAGGAGTGGAGGAGGTGCTTTTGGCATCTAAGGTACATGGAGGACCCCCCTCCCTCACTCATTTGTCAATTAAGACAAAAGTGAGACATCCCCTCTCCCTCCAACCATTGAGCTCGACCAGACCATCCAAGGGAGAGAGAAGGAGCTTCAAAATCACCTCCATTGCTGCAAATTTGAGCTCAAGCTTTAGTGCTCAAAGGAAGAAGATTAAAGAGGGAAAAAGTTGGGAAAAGTGTGAACAATTAAGGTAATGACCTCATATTAACTTTTCCTTTATTTTTCTTCCACCATATGAAGTATATATCATATGAAGAACCTTTAGTATGGTTCAATATGTTATAAGTATGGATCTATGGGGTGGAAGATGGTTCTAAGTCCAAGAACGGACTTAGAAGCCAAAACGACCGGTTCACCGGAAAATAACCTTTTTGAGGTTATTTGTATTAATATGGGTTTTATGATTATAAAACCTTGTTAGGCACTTGTAAAGGGTATTTCAAGTGATTTCACAAAGTTGGAAAAAGTCGCCGGAGTCGTCGCCGGAGTTGACCGAAAGTCGCCGGAGTTTCACCGGAGTTCAACCAAGAAGGGTAGAACTTCATAACGCTAATTCAAGGTGAGTGGACGGCTTAATATCTTATAACTTTTGGGTTAATTATGAGATTACCTAAATAAATGTTATATGTGTTCATAATGATGTTTAAAAGATATTTAAACATGTGATTAGCCAACATTATCAAGTTGTATGAAAAGAATTAATTGATTATGCATGAAATATGATATGAGAAATTATATAAAATGCACATTAGCTTGAAGTGTGAAAGAAGCTCAAATGAGTATTATTGACTTGATTATATGATGATTAAGTTGATATGTACAAGGCTTGAATTGGCGGTCAACGACAACGTTGACCGATGGATGATGGATTAATTAATATCGGTTGATGTTAGTTAATTATACATTTATATAAATGCATGGCTTTGCATGGATTGTGATACATAAGATTTATGTATTGGATTAGTTATGAGTAACTAAGGATGATATAGACTCTATCTAGGTTGATAGGAGGTTGATCATAGGGAAATATTTTGGTGGAGGACCCTAGTACTTAAAAGTACTTAACACTCAAAACTTGGTGGAGGACCCTAGTACTTAAAAGTACTTAACACTCAAACTTGGTGGAGGACCCTAGTACTTAAAAGTACTTAACACTCAAAACTTGGTGGAGGACCCTAGTACTTAAAGTACTTAACACTCAAACTTGGTGGAGGACCCTAGTACTTAAAAGTACTTAACACTCAAAACTTGGTGGAGGACCCTAGGACTTAAAGTCCTTAACACTCAAACTTGGTGGAGGACCCTAGTACTTAAAAGTACTTAACACTCAAAACTTGGTGGAGGACCCTAGTACTTAAAAGTACTTAACACTCAAAATTTGGTGGAGGACCCTAGGACTTATGAGTCCTTAACACTCACAAACCGGTGGAGTATCCAAGGATTTTGATCCTAAAACTCATAGATTATGATATACAATTAGGGACAAGGAGGAGTCCTATACACTCATAGGTATATGGGTGGGTTGGGGTTTTTAGTCAAGAATATTGACTATTACTATTTTTCCCAAATAAAATGGTGATCTACGGATCGGATATTTTCCAAGTATATATATACTAATAAGTATTTCATAACTTGGGGGAAAGACTATTTATTTAAGTATCACCCTATGTTTGGGTCTTATACTTGAAACGCTAGTTATTCTATATTTAGCCTGCTACTCGCTCGGTACTTGTACTGACCCCTTCGGGGGGCCCCACCATTTTCAGGTTGAAGCTAGGGCTTGCTACTTGCACCTTCTCACGGGTGGTATCATATCGGGAAGACGTGGTTCGTGCTTCCTTATTTTCTTTCAAACTACTGAACACTTGCTCATGGATATTTGCTCTACTATAAACTATTTTTGGGGCTTGCATGCCCATGTTGTTGGCCGGTTGTGGCTTATGACTTACCGTTGAATATTTCCGCTATTCATTGGTTTAAATGTGATGTTGTTATGTATGTTTACTACTGAGTATGGATGGATTATATTCTCGAACGCCTTGTGTAATTAAGTGAGGTTGACTCGCGGGTGACGTCACTTGATTATACGGCGGTTGTACACGTGCTTGGATTGCGGTCTGGGGCGTGACACATCATCCATTAAAAAAGAACTATAAATTTTCCTGATTTGGTTAGAACAAGGAAAGGAACCTAGGATTAACTAAAAATCGATTAGAAAGATTTTTTTCATAAATAGATAAAAGAAGAGAAGATATGAGGTCATGAGGAGGAAGCTAGTAAAGACATAAAGTCATGAAAGTCTGTGCAAAAGAAGTTGAGAAGATTGAAAAACAATATTGATTTGGGAAAATTATTATTAACCCCTTGAGATTATGCCATAATTATTAATGCAACCTTGCATTTTCAAAAATCAATTAGTTACCTTCTGAGTTTTGATCATTCTCACTATATGCCCCTCTCATGTTAATATTTGTTAAATTAAATTTAATATAATTCTTAAATTCAATGAAAATTGTCTGTGAAATTAATTTTTAAAGTAAAACACAATTTATTATCATAATTATGAGTCATTTTTTTATTGTTATTTTTTGCTTAGCTACTCAATCATGGAATAAATATTGATCAAAGTAGTTAAGGTAGAAGAGTCTCAACTGAGTAATATTCATTAGGGGCGGGCAAGAATCCCGGTCCCGTTGTCCCATTCCGGTATATCCCGAAACTGTACCGGTGTTGTCCCGTCCCGTTCCGTTTGGGTCTCATTGATTTTGTCCCGCACCGGTCCCGTACCGGTTTAAAACGGGACGGGACCGGGACATTGGAAGGTTATCCCGAACCGTCCCGTTGTCCCGTTTGTAATAACTATATAGATTTTGTAGCATGTGACTAGTGTGTAATGTCAACTCAAAAAATAAATGGTAACATGTTTTTAGTTCTTCAAGCCCAATTTTTAAATTAAAAATAATACCTAACATACATATTTACTAACATAGATGTTTATCCCACTTTGTATATCTACATATGAGTATCTCACAGCTAGAACACATGATTTTGAATAAACTAATTCATTTTTGCTTTGTTTTAAATTTAAATTTCAAATTTTGCTAAACCTAACTAAAATCTAATACGTAGTAGCTTTTAGCTTGTGATGAACAACAATTAACTTTTAAAATGTTAATATTTTGGTGCATGATACTTTAGAAATGCTAATATATATTAATTACAAATGATTATTTTTTGTTAGTTTGGGACGTCTCGAACCGTCCCGAACCGGTCCGAACCATCCCGGTCCCGATTTAAATGGGACAAGACTAGGACAAAGGCTTGTCCTGTACCGTCCCGTCCCGTTATTATTAATTGGGAAGGGACTGGGATAACCCTAATCCCGAACCGTCCCGACCCAAGCCCACCCCTAATATTCATGAGATACGTAAAAGAAATATTATTTGAAATATGTGTTATCAAAATTATATACACCTCTTCATCATCAATATAAAACTCTTATTTGTAATTCATCCGGACGAATTAATCTCAATAACACTTCTTTCGTATGTAGCAAAGAATCGAGAAAAAATGAATTTTATCAATCCATGATCTAAAAGATTGATCTAGTATTGATAAGAGACCGTACCTAAAAGACAAAAATGTATCAATATAAGGCCTGAATAAATGAAACCTATCGATCTAAGAACTAAAATATACTCTCCGTATATCATAGATTTGTTTAATTTTTTATTAATTCTATTACTAATTTTGATGATTTCTTCTTCAAAAAAAGTTTATTAATTTAATAAGCTTAAATGATATTTAATTTTTAAAATAAAAATATAAATTCATAATATTTTATATCTTACTCGTGAGTCTTTTCCCTTAACTACTTTCATTATTCCACAATTGAGTAGCTAAGTATAAAAATAACGGTAAACAATAATGACTTATAATAATGATAATAAATTGTGATTTACTTTTAAATTTAATTTTATAGATAGTTTTTATTGAATTTAAGATTTATATTAAATTAAATTTAATAAATATTAACATGAGGGGGCTAACGGTGAAAATAATCAAAACTTAGGGGGTAACTAATTGATTTTTGAAAATGCAAGGTTGCATTAATAATTATGACATAACCTCAGGGACTAATCATAATTTACCCTAACTTACCCTATTGATTTTAAGATGGGGCTGATGTATAAATTAAATTTTAGGCATTTTTTTAGTTCTACCTTATGATTTTCGGTTTATGTGATTCACGTTTGAAATCCGACAAATTTCTTTATTTTTCATAAGTTACAAAAAACAAGTCACTACTCTTATATACTACGTATTTGACATACACAGTTTATATTTTGTATAACATGATTTACATATTTAATACACATAATTTATACATTTTATATAACGTGATTCACATATTTAAGACACAATTTATAATGTTACATATTTGACACACACAGTTTTCATTTTGCACAACGTTACATCAAACATATAGCGTTAGTGCAATAAATAATACTTCATCCATCTCACAAACATTGAAATATTAGAGGAAGGTGCAATTATTAAGAAAAATGAGATTGCATGATCCTTATTGAATTGATAAAATAAAAAATAATTTAGAACCATAGAAATTTTATCAAATCTTATCACTAAATTTTATCAAATTTTATCACTTAATTCATCCCATTAAGACTGTCTTAATGTTACTTACATCAAAAGGATGACACCCCATCCCTGAGGGCCCCCACCACCGACCGGACGGCACGATGGGCGGATGTAAATTGGACTATAATCACAATCTGACAGATAGAGAGTGAGGCTCTATCCCCGGTACTTGCAGAGACCCTATGCATTTTTCAGCATAGTAACCCCTCATCGCAGTTGTCGGGATTCGAACCCGAGACCTAACCCTTGTGGCACTCCCTTGCTACCAGTTGAGCTACGCCCACCGGTAATGTTACTTACATCAAACATTTAGCTTTAGTGTCAATAAAACTATTAGGCTGCCCTCGTGGAGTAGTGGACTAGTGGAAGGGATTTCTTGCGATATTGGAGTACTGGACATTTTGGACTCATTTTATAGACAAAAAAGACTCTTGGGATTTATTTTTATGGTGTCTGAGCATCAGCCGCTGTGCAAGATAGCAAAAATAAAACAGTAAACATGCCCAAACATCTATCTATCTTAATATAATAACAAAAGGTTTCTTGGGGAAGAAGTTGACGCCAAAACGAATGGCTTAATTCTTACGGTACAGTATCCTTTTGAAGAGATATTATCCAAAATAGGACTAAAAAGGTTTGAAAATTCCAAAATAGGACTTCCATGTTTTTATTCCTAAAGTAAGACTAATTACTGTCATGTTTTGGCAGTACCAGACTTCAACATGACAGTATTTTCCAAATTTGGCAGTAATTACTCCTATTTTGAGAATAAAAAACATGACAGTCCTATTTTGGAATTTCCAAACTGTTTTAGTCCTATTACGGGAACTTTCCCTATCCCATTTAGTAAATCTTGGCATGAAATATCTTGATGCATTTATTGTTAGCCGTAAATGGAACCTTTGGTTTTTCAGCCGTCTAAGTGGCGGAGCCAGAAATCTATCGTTAAGAGGGCCGACCCGTAAAAAGTTTACATTACAGAGGCCAAAATTTAAAATATCAACACATTTTCTATAGATTAGAAGTATTTATACATAATATATATTTAAGAATTTTTTCCCTTGCAGGGGCCGAGCCCCCCTCCAGCCCCTCCCTGTCTCCACCCCTGGCTGTCTTTATTGGGAAAAAAACCTTTGGTTTTTCAGCTGTCTCTATTGGTATTTGTGGTTATTGTGGATAACTGTGTTCTACATTTACAAATAGAGGTGTCCTTTCGTTTCCCACAGCAAAATAAATGACTCCAATAAATAAAATTTATGTGTAAATTTGCAATAGTTGGTCCAAAAAATGTGTAGGGAAAAATTTGCAGTCGTGCGACACTCAATTATATTAGCCCTTGAAAAATAGTGTTGCAGCTGCCGATTAGTTCTAGAGAAAGTTCGAGAAAAGTTATTACTATTGAATTATTTACAACTAATGATGTTTTTTTTGGATTGTTTTCAGTCCCAGACCAGACCAGACTTAAACAGACCAGACCAGACCAGACTTAAACAGACCAGACCAGACCAGACTTGGATATTTATAAAATACACAGAGACCAGACGTTTACCAGACCAGACCAGCAAATTTCAGTCCAAAAGAAAACATCCTAAGACAACTATTGCTTTGTCCAACAAGTTCTTATCTCTTTAATTTTTCGGTGCATTTAATTTTTACCGTTGGCCATTTTTTTTTCCTATCTCATGTAATAGATGAATGTTGATAAATATATATTGAATGTTTGGACTTTGGATGACGTTTTGTTAAGTTTCAAATAAAAGAATATTAAAAGAAACAAGTAATTAATGTTCAAGTTTTTCTTTTAATTATTATATTCTTGGGAGGCCGGTCATATTACAAAAATTCCGCAAACGGACGAAGGCATAGATTCAAAGCAATGCATCCGGGTGAATGACATGTTGATATAATATGATCTAATGTAATCAATAGAAGCAGCTCCACCTAGCATACATACATAGTCAAATCTTCTGCAGAATGTATGTAGCCAATGAGGTTAACTCTCGCTTTAAATTTCTTTTCTCATATTTTCTTTTAATTTATGTTTGTTTCCCTAACGGGTTTGTTGTTACGTTGTATATAGGGAACTAAAACTTTTGTCATGTAATGACGGGTCAAATGGCCAAGTGTGTGAGAAGAAACTCCATAAAGATTCCGAGAAATGTTTCGTCGAGAAAATGCATGTACTCCAAACATAACCCACTTTTAGTAGAAAAAGGTTTAACATGCATGCATGTAAATAATTAAACAAGTTTCAGAATTCAACAAGTTTCCACAATATAATTATCAATTTGTACGGATTTACAATTGCTACCAATCAATTACAATTATCAAATACGGAGTAATACA